TTGAAAATAAATATTTTTTAGAAGTAGAAAAATATAGAGTTATACCTCGCTTAGCATATACTCAGATACAATGTCTGTTAGGTTCTTATAAACTAAAAGTTACCCAAAATATTTCTATGTTTTTTTGAAAATGGCACTCACCACGTTTTCAAAATAAACTCTTCATATATATCTTTGTCAAAAATGCTTTATGAAATTAAACAGGTTATATTTGCAGTTAAGTTTATGGCATTTACAACTGCATCCAAAATTAACTAAGTTCAAGTTTATTTGAATTTTTTTTTTTTTTTTTTTTTTTTTACATTATTCACCTCCCCAAGGCCCGAGGGGGCCACTACAGTCGAGGAGGCTACTCATTTTTTTGTGTTTTTTATTTTTTTTTGTTGTATTTCGTGGTACAACCCTCTCTCAACTCTTTAACTCCGAAACACGAACCTTGACAAGCAAGGCCGCTGCGCGGAGAAACTAAGTTGAGCGCGGTACTTCCAGGGACGTGGTGGGAGTCGAACTCCGAACCTCTCGCTTACAAAGCGAGCGCTCTTACCACTACACCACTGCCGCATATATATATATATATGTGCCGAATTATATTATATATCATTATATAATATATAAATATATATATATATACATATATATATATATATATATATATATATATATATATATATATATATATATATATATATATATATATATATATATATATATATATATATATATATATATATATATATATATATATATATATATATATATATATATATATATATATATATATATATATATATATATATATATATATATATATATATATAAACTATAGTTATTATGCAATAAAATCTAAAATAATAACTTTAAAATAAGATGAGCAGCTATATAGTCTAAAATCTTCTAGAATATTGCAGAATGTTCTAAATTGTTCTAGAATGTTCCAAAATATTTTAAATTGTTCTAGAATGATCTAAATTGTTCCAAAATGTTTTAAATTTTTCTAGAATGTTCTAAAGTCTTCTAAAATATTCTGTTATTTTCCAAAATTTTCTAAAGTTCTAAACACTTCTAATCTATACAAGTTTTAAATGATTTACAGGAAAGCCACACGTATTAGTAGTAGCAGTAACAAGATTAAATAAATGACAAAACGTAGTTTGAATTGCGACCTTTTTTACAACTGAGAGAAATTGAACAACCTTTCAATATTTTCTAATTAAAGTTCATATATATACATATACATATACTCATTTATAATTTACTTTTATACAATATTGATTTAACGTTTATGTGAGAAACTATATTTAAACACCATTATTTGAATTTTGTTAAAAGTTGCATTGATATTATTTGTACAGTAGTCTAATATTATTTACATGTTTACTTTAACTTTTAACTTAATTCGTAATATTTGTAAATAATTTCTCTTACGAACGCTATATACTTTTGATATTGAATTTAATTTTTAATAAATAAATATATATATATATATATATATATTTAAAAAAAAAAAAAATTGATGTATGTGAATGGATGTATCTGCAAATATTGTATGTATGATACTTCTGGAAGTTAACCATCCTTTGACATTGGTTTAGCATTTTTGTCGGTGGAAGCGTAAATGTAAACGCACCCACATTTGATAATTTTGGCTTGACACACAGTGACACCATCATTTGGCTTTCTAAATATTTCTATACAAACTTTTGGACAACCTTGAAGTTCATTTGGATGTACCTAGTGCAATCATATTCTTATTATTTTCGTTTATTTATTAATTAAGTAACAGTTAAGATAATGTAATTGTAAGATACATTTGAGTAACAAGATTCAGTGATCATATAGATGCGAGTAAGATGCGAGACATATTTGTTTATCAATAATATTATGATATTATTGTTTTCGCTTGAGTCATGCAATTCAGAAGAATTGTTATTTTAATTCAAGCCATAAAGACCATAACTAAAGAAAAGTTTAAAATTTATATTTATTTATTTTTGTTTATTCTAAAATCTAAATTAAGTTCACAGCGGTTCTCGGTGACAAGACCTGAATGGTCTTCTTTGAGTATCCGCGTTCTTTATCTTTATTCTTTATTTTTTAACAGTTTCTTTGCATGTAATTTTTCTTATTGATATATCTGTAAATATTGTATTAAATATTGTAAAAAAGGACAAAAAAAAAAAAAATTATATCATTATATATTATATATCAATATATATAAATACCATTATTTATCATGTTTTAAAAATATGACTTTCGTTTACTAAATCTTATAAATAGGTTAAAATGTATCAGTATTAAAACAAGTTTGTAACATCTAGTCTTGCTGAGACCCAATTATTACAAAACAATTTAGAATAAAATACATAAGTGTTTTCGCCAAATAAAACCAGATACACCATTTAACTTTTAAAAATCATTATTAGAGACCAGGCGCACATCCGCGAATTATAAACCAAATCTATATTAATAGTATACACATTGATCAATGAATTTCAAGTCTCAAATTACTGGATCGCTATGGACCGCAAAAGTATTCGACTAGAGTTAGAAGGGGTAATTTTGCCACTAATTCTTTCAATTTAAATGACTTGAGAACTAAAAATGAAAATCGAATTTTTTTTTTAATAATATTTTTATAAACTTAACACACTTTAATTTTTTTTTTAAATAATTAAAACAGAAAAAATGGGGTGGCGAAACTACCCCAATAAAATCTAATTTAAGGGAATTTCGCCACCTATGTTATTTACAACATAATTTTTTTATTTTATATTTTAAATCTTAAAAACACATCAGTTAAATAAAAGAAATCAATTTTCAATAAGTAGGAGCATGGCCATCGATACCGAGAGGTACCAGGGCATGTCCTCACCCTCCACCTTTTTTATCTATTTTTTTTTCTTTTTTTTTTAGAATTGTAGGATATTTGAACCAGTAGGCATGTGAACCAGTAAGGATTCAGTCACATAGAAAAGATTTGTTAATGTACCAGCCCCAACTATCCTTTCTGGATATTGAGTTCTTCCTCCTAGTGTCCTTCAAGGTCTTCAGTATAATTCTATTGATCGCTTGCAAGCTTTAACTTTTGCAATAGCATTTTCTATTAGCTTTTCGCTATAATTGGTGACAAATTTTCTCTTGTAGTTTTGCGGCATTGTAGATAATAACTAATCAACTTAATTAATTTGAATTGATTATAAGACCAACATGAGCTGAGAAATTAATTATCAAAACAAGAAGATGGAGATGATATTAATTATCCAATGAAAGCGCATACTAATTATTTTTTTACTTTATTTCTTAATTGTTTTCCAAAATTATTTTAGTTAAACATATTAATTAAATTATTTAATCAAAAGCGCCTAAGACTAACATGACCTGATAAATTAATTACAAAACAAGAGGAATAGAAATAATATTAATTATCCAATCAAAGCGCATTTCTATTGAATATAAATAGGTGGCGAAATTCCCACATATAGTTTTTCCGTAATAACTTTGGATCAAAATTAGAAAGAAAAAAACAAAGATTTTTTGAAAAATTTCCAATATTTTAGTCCTTTATATTTTGAATGGAAATAAATAATTTGGTTTTTATGAGAATTTTAAATTTCCTGTTTTTTATAGATTATTTTTGTCAATTAATTTTCTTATCAAGTTTTCATAAAAAGAAGATTTTTTTGCATAATTTGGTAAGAAATTTGTTTTTCTTCTAATAGAAATTTGATTTATAAAAAAATCTTATTCCTGAGTAAAGTTATAGTTATAAAAGTAAACATACACTAATTGGAGGCGAAATTTCTAAAATGGCGAAATTACCCTATATAAGCGAATTTTTAACTAAAAAAGTACTTAATATACCCCGTTATTTGAAATCATTTTATTTGACATAACGTACGTGCAAAATAGAGTTGTAACAGTTCATTTGAAAAATAATTTAATAAAACTTGGTTTTATTAAATCATAAAGTAAAAATATAGGTAATAAAATTAGCATCTATTCCATGCTTATTAGTAACACAAAAAAAATTATCAAATTAAAAAAAAAAAAAAGCTTTTTATTCTAAGGCATATTTATAAACAACATTAAAGCAAAAAGAGTTCATTCAATCAAAATTCTAGGTATAATATTTGACGATCATTTAAACTGGAAAAATACAGTCCAATTAGTGGAAAACAGCATTTCAAAAGCTCTTGGGATCCTTTTCAAAACGAAGCACCTTTTAAATATAATGTGCTTAAAAAGCTTGTATTTTTCATTTATTCATAATCACATTAGTTATTGCAATATAGTGTGGGCAAGTAATTATTCATCTTCTTTAAAAAAAATTAATACCAAACAAAAGCAAGCAAGCCGGTTAATTTTGAATGCAGGTAGATATGCATGCGCCGAGCCTTTACTTAAAAAAATTAATGTTTTAAATATTTAAAAACTAAACATCTATCAAAATCTGTTATTTATGTTTAAAATTCATAACAACATGCTTTCAACATATTTTCAACCTAATTTTACCTTAATTAATCATAAATACTCTACAAGACATTCCATTGGCAACTTTCTCATCCCTACAACATCCCTTAGAAAAACAGACTTCTCAATTACATGTCGAGGACCACGTTTGTGGAACTATTTCCTTAATTGAGACATGAAAAACATGAATTCAATTGAACTATTTAAAAGAGCAGTTAAACGATACTTATTAGATTTAAATAATAAAAACATTCTTTTGCATTTTTAAAAACATTTATATATCGATTTGTTAACATGTATATATGCATCTTATAACTTATATATTTTATGAACTGTAATATATTATACTATGTACAAAACTTGTAATATGTATAAAACTTATATAACGTATATTTTAGGAACTTAATACGTAAACCTTATTTGATACTTTCACGAACTTAGGAGCAGGGTGATTGGTGAGCAGGGTGATAAGACGAATTGTCTTCTACTTAATTAAATTGTAATTGCAAAAAAACTTTCAAAAGACTCACCATCAATGTTTTCAGAATATTCAACGACTTCAAAACTTCCTGTTAGTTCGTATTCTTGAGTCATAGCTTTACCACCTTGTAACGTCTACATTTTAACAATAACATTAAAATTATAAGTATAAAAGTAAAACTATAACAATAAAATGTAAAATAATTAACCATTACCCTACAATCCTTGGTGTTAAAAGACTTATTAAAAAAACAATAATATTAAAATTTTAATATAACACTGTTTATTACCCGTGACCTGTCTACCGACTACGAGCTAACCTACTATGTATGCAAAATAGCTAGAAGGAAAAAAAAAAAGAAAAAAATTTCAAGTCAACGGAGCAGAACCTTTTTATATGGAGCTTAAATTTTACCCATAGTTCAACAGATAAGAAAAAACTCATTATATGCATTTATTGTTTATAGATTGCTGTTCCATTTGTAAATTTTTTATACATTTTTTATAGGAAAAAAACTACTTTAAAATAGTAAACTTTAAAATTGACCTACTTTAAAATAGTTAACAAAAATTATGTCTTGTAAAAGGAAAAAAAGAAAATTTTACGCAAAAATGGCGTACGAGGAAAATTAATAGATTGATAAAAAACTTTGCTAAAGTTATTTTTCATTAACTTTTAAAAGCAATCGATTGGAATTCAGTCAAAAATAGTTTAGCCCATCCTAAAAAAAATACTCGTTCTTTGCAGAGTTTTTCTTTTTTCTTTTTCTTTTACTGTTATCTTTATTATTTTTATATATTTAAAAAACAATTTTTTTAATTTTATTTATAAAACTTTCAGGAGTTATGCAACATAACAAAATAAATAGAATTAATGAAATTCAAATGAATAACACAGGAACAACATAGCCGTTTAAAAGTAATGAAATTTAAATAAATGAAACAAATATATTAAGTTTTAATAATCAACGTATATAATTATGCATATTACTTATTTTTTTCAGTTTAACATGTTTGCTTATTTTAAATGCTTTAAACCTTCTAAAAATAAATTAGGAACGTTGTAACTTTTTTTCTTTTTTTGCCTTTTTTGAATTTGTCTACTACTTGAATATCAATAACGTCACCGGCATGATTGTTAACTATGCGATGGTTGATGACATCGATGACATCATGATATCAAAATTCAAATAAATCTGGAGAAAATAGAATTCTATTTCATGAGAAAACTTGCAAACATTAAAAGTGTTTATATATTGTAAATTTTTTTGTAAACACTTTAATGACTATTTTAGATTAACAACGCGCTTTTAGTTTTTAAATAAAAATAAAAAGATTTTATTGAAAAGAAACTAATTTTGATAAACCTTTTATGCAAATAAAAATTACCTTTGAATCTTCATAAACTTATCCTTAAAAAAAATAAAAAATAAAAACGCAAAAATATCATAAATCCAATACACAAAATTAAACAAAATGTTAGTAAACTAAATAAAAATATATAAAACACGATTAGCATCCAAGTAAGGAAAATATTTGAAGACAAAATCTTATTGATGCTTTAGATTTGGTGATTCAAAATGGATGTAAAATACCATAACTAGTCTTATAAAGTTCAAATAGAATTAGAAAGTTTATAAATGACAGCGCAAATTTTCGGAACAGATTAGCTTTTAAATGCAAAAAACATAAACGTGTATTACAAAAGGCATCACACCTACTTTCTAAATAACGATCAACTTTCTAATATAACTTATAACAGTTTTGTGTTTATTTAAATTTTAAAATGTTTTTAATGACTAGTAATTTTAAAATAAATTTAAAAAATTATAATAATTTTATTAGAGACTTTTTATCCATTATTAAATAGGCGTTTTAATTTAAGAATCATTTCTTTCTAATTTTAGCAAATTTATAACAAATTCGAACGACCTGCGTCAATCTCGGAACTAAATCTTCACGTCAATCTCGGAACTAAATCTTCACGTCAACGATTTTATGAATAATCTTACAAAAAAACTTTTACATTTTCATTTAGCTTTAAAGGAACTTTAAAGCTAAATGAAAATGCTAAATGAACATATTTATGACTTTTTTTACTATATATACATATAATTTGTGTTAGCCGAAAGTTTAATTCTATAAAACATATTCTTTTTCCAGTAAAACATATAAAACATATTCTTTTTCACTTAAAAAATATCCGATGTACTAAACTAAAACTTAACGTAAAGTTAATAAATAGGACTGCATAGTAACATATAATGTCATATAGTTACATGTCACATAGCTATATATAACGTTAAATAGTTGTATAAAATGTTATATAATAGTAAATTACAAAGAAAAAACATAGTTAGATGAATCTGCATAGTTCATCAAAACAAAAACACAATATTACAAATTTTTAAAACTTTTTGTCAACTATAAATTTTTTTTTGTTAATTAATGGGTTAGTTCCTTTCTTTACATATTGGCTACTAAAGAATGTCAAAATTTTCTATGTATGTATATATTATACTGACTAAAAGCAGGTATTACATAAAATTGTGAAAGATACTATGTCGTGAACAGCGTACGCAAAATATTTTAAAATGCCTGTGGTGGATCAGGACAAACATTTTATGTGACATATGGAACTTTCCGAACTACTCTAACAAAATAGCTATAAGAAAAAAGACAATACTTTTGCCGCTCCTATGGAGATAATGAAAGAACCATCGCAATGACTGTTACTTTTGTATGATTGATACTTCAAGGTACAGAAAAGTTAAAGGGAGACAAGCTCTTCAAAAATCATTTGTATCATCATTTATATTACCTGTACCACATGATGACAGCCTTCCATAACTACCACAAAATTAAGTATACTTCTTATCATATTTTTTAAAGGTTTCATATTAAACTTCATTAAACTTTAAGAATTACTATGCATTTATTTTTTATTACGTGCTGGCCATACATATACTGTTATTATGTCAATGTTGAAGTTGCTATATGTTGTTTTTTATTATTTTACGAAGAAAGATGCAGTAAATATTTCATCTCAAAAGTCAGTACTATATTCTATAAAAATTGATTCTAAGAAAAGTTAAACACAAATAAAGCAACATGCTATGACTACTTTTTATCTAGCATAATCAATGATTGCTTGATAGGTAGGTGTTAACTAATAGGTTGAATTTATTAAAGAAGTTTTATAAAATATTTTCAACCAATCGCTCAAAACAGGTGTTTTTCCAAATAAACTAAAAGTTGCAACCTTTTGAAAGCATAAAGTACGTAAGCTTTTTTATGCAAAATCCCCCCCCCTCCCGCATTTTTTCATACACTTTTTTAAATACCCTCTAGCTCTCTAAAAGTACCTACGCTTTTAACCTGTCAACCCAACATTTTATGATATTTTTTTTGATTTAGTGTCTCAATTATTTTATAATTGACCTACAGCCCCCTTAACTCAGAAACGTCATTTGCAGACCCCTCTTCCTCTCCGAGCGTACGTACTTTTGGACGATCCTTTACTTAACTAATCGAAAACAGTTTATATCTCTAAATGATGGTTTTCAGACAAAAAACTTAAAGTATTATGTGGGGTTCTACAAGGCTCTATCTTATGTCCTCTACTATTTTTACTCTATTCAGCGATCTATACAGAGCATCAAATACTATGTCTACTATCATGTTTGTAGGCCACACAACTTTATTTTATTCCCACAGTAACATTATCTCTTTATTTCAGGTAGCAAACAAAGAACTAGAACAAATATTAAACTGGGTTAACTCTAACAGACTATTCCATTTTAAACGAACATCCTTAACAATGCTATATATAAATAACATCAAAATTAGGCACTCTTTCACAAACAAATTACTTGTTGTTTTAATAGATGAAAACTCATCCTGGAGAGATTATGTTTATTTTATAATTTATATTATATACGGATTTCTACTTTTCAATTCCACATGCTTCGATGTTTTGCTATTGTCGAGGAAATACAATTTTATAATATATAAAAAATATAATAAATACTTTAATATAAAAAATACTTTAAATTTATATTATTTTGGTAAAAAAATATGTTCTTTAGGATAATTTTTTATATATTTTTTACTTTCTATTTTACAAGTTTAGCTAAATTAAGAGCGTCGCGGCGTGACAAATCGATGTCACGTTGTGACGCGCACATTTTTGCTATATCTGTAAAAATATAAAAAAGAAATTATGAAAATTTTAATGTTTATAATACAGTTAGGCTATTTGGATATTATAATAAAGTTTATTTTTTATTTTAAAAATCTAAATACCGCAAACGCATTAAAGCGTGTCATAGAATTGTTATTGTAGGAAATTTTTTGCGCAACGGAAAGGAAAAGAAAATCATTAAAATGTAACAAGAAAAATTAAGATACGCAATTTTTATGATATGTGATTAAATATTTTTCTTTCCGGTCTGTTTCGTGGAAAGAAGAAATCCGCCTTAACACTGAGTAAATCTCGACGACTCTAGAGTTGTTCGAAACAGTTTGAAAACTTTTTCTTTTTTTAACTTTCAAACAAAAATATGTAAGCTTAGTTTTAACTTTGATTTTAATACTTTATTAATCCGCCCCTGCATAAATTTATTCAGGTCACATATCATCATGGAGGTATCGCAAGACTCAAATTTGCAAAAGACATTAGTAATACTCATGAACTCTTGCGAGGTTTCTAGCTAAGGATTGTTCAATCTCTTAAATGAGGAACTATAGCGGCTTGCTTTTGATTTACAATACTGCGTATTGGACAGCACTTTTGGTGCTTCAAACTATCAATTATCATGGTCAGTACAACATTACAATGGACTGTAACAAAAGGTTACTACTACCTCATGTTTGTATTATTGCTGATCTACTTTATTTTGGTATCTGCAAAAAAAAAGTTTATTTGTTTGCCCTTAGTGTGATACAATCATTCAAAGAAAAACATCTTTGTTCTCTGAACTAAACAAACTGCCAAAAGAATAGTTTTTACTATACTTTGCTAATTGCTCTGCACATTTTTAGATCATTATAAGTTGAATAGTTTATGATTTCAGTCTTCATGTTATGGCCTATTATTGAGAAATATCGCACGAGAAACTCTCACCGTAACGCTA